GGGGGGGCGTGGGGACCCTCCGGGTAGCTGCCTGAGCAGCCCGTGCAGACGCCGCAAGCAGAAGAGCCCACCGGCCTGATTCAGGTGCTCCGGTCTCGTGGTTTTGCTGCATCGGTCTAAAACAAACGCAAGAAACAAAGAGGTGGATCAGGTTAACGCACTTAGTTCGGGGTACGAGCGGTCAAAGGTCGCCTGAGTTCTGGGGTACGAAGACTCACGGCAACTGAGTCCCATCTCACTCCCCACGGTGTGGTTGTCACCCCCAGAATGGAAGACGAGCCAGGGGGTCTGCACCCGGAAGCTGCCAGGGCCACGCAACGGGGCAAATGAACCCGGCTTTTACCTGCGTGACCTCGGCACAGGACTCACGGAACAGAGCCAGAGTGACCAACGAGAAGCACCTTTAGGACGCCTGGAACTTGAAGCTCACTCGATCCTTCCATCCTCCTCCTCTGTGTTTAGCTCGCATTCTTAATACATCTCACAGGCCTCGTGAGTTGCTTCTTCATATCTATGCCTCGTTTCATCTGTCTCTTTATTCGTGTGGCTTTCCTGTTTTCTCCATGACAGAATTGAATACTCTTTAAAAAAAAAAAAAAATACAGCAGACACACAGAGGATCGTAGGGTGGTTGGGAGAATTTGATGAGACTGGGGTGGAAGGTGTTTAGTACACAGCCTGGCACCGAGCATGTGCTCGTACATGTTTGTGAGCAGTGGCAGTCACATCCAAGGGAAATGGGGGGACCGGGAGAAAAGCAAAATAGGGTCCTTTGATCCAGGGAAGGAACCGGTTGGAAAGAGGTCCCACTCTAAGAGCAGACATTGGGAGGAGGAATTTGGGGAGCTGAACAGATGTCTGAAGGGAGGAGAGAAAGGGAACCCAAGGGAGGAAGGGGTTCTCTGCGCAGCACCTGGTCCCCAAGTTAATGAGGGGAGGCTCCTGGCCCGCCTCCCAGGAGGGCATACATTTACATAAGATCCTTCATCTGCATAGCATCTCAGCTAATTTACATACAAATGGAAACCTGAGCCCTCCTCAGCCTGACCCCTCCTTACACCTTGGCCAAAGGGTCTGGGGAAGGGCAAGAAGGAGGGGTGAATCGCAGGATTTGGGGCTCCAGGAAGCAAAGGGAAGTCTGGAGTAGACTCCCCTTGTCATTGACCTTCCATGGCTCCCTGTTGCTGTCAGGAGCGTGAGCCACCTGGACCTTCTCAGACGTTATCGCTCACACCTACCCACTGCTCCCCCACTCACATATGCCCCCCCTCTTGTGCCTTTGTGACTTTACTACTCCCCTTACCTGGAATGTCCCATCCTATTTCCCCCTCACTGTGACAAAGCTTGCCTGTCCTTCAAAGCTTGGACATCTCAAAGGGTTCTAAAAAGTGTTCACACACACCACCCCCACCACCACCTTCTCTGCCCTTGGAACTTTATAGGAAGCTGTGCCTCTTCTGAACTCATACGGATTTTATTAGTAAAAATTGTTTGGTTGCAAATGAAAAAAAAAGAAGTCAAAAATTTGTGAAAGTGAAAAGTTATTTACTCATATAACCGGGAAGATCAAAGGCCGATTCCTTCAGGCATAGCTGGATCCAGGGGCTCAAACAGGTCTTTTATCTCCAGTGACCCCCACACTACCAGATTTCTCCCCTAGCAACCTGGCCATCCCCACCAAAAGAGGATGTCTCTTTCCAATTAGTTCAAACGAAAGCCTCAGGGCTGATTGTCATTGGTCAGGAATGGGTCTCACCTGGTGGCCAGGGGATCAAATGCTCTGATTAGGCAGGACTGGGTCAGGCTCATTCTGAGCCATAAGTACTGAGTGTAGGAGACTCCCCATATGAAAAATGGGGTGGGGGAGCTGAAAGA